GCCATGATCGTAACTGCCCGTACATCCATGCCCAGAACCCTTCCCACGCTAGGCGCGGAGCGTCCGAAACTCCGGCAACCGGCGCGCGCGGGAGGGCAGCCAGCAGCGTGACGTTTCGTGTCGGCCGGGGCGGTGTCGGCGGGAGCGCCACGAGCGACAAGCACCGCGGTCGCAGCGTTGGCCACGGCAACGGGGGAGGGCGCGGAGGAGAGGCGCGCGCCGCTGGCGAGGGCGGCGCGAGACCCAAGGCCGCTGACTTCTTCACCCACGGGAAAGACAAATAGGGGTGCGGGCTCTCCCGCGTGGCGGGGGGGCCTACCTCGGATGGCAGCGCACATGCTGCTAAACTGAACGGCAGCACGCCGGTCTACACGAGGTTGGCCCCAGGGCTATCAGCAGGTGTGGATGCCGACGTGTGTGTTTATGGACATGCGGTGGACGAACTAATTGCCGCGAGGGGGGGCGAATCAGCGAGGAAAGCGTTGAGTCGCGTAGAGGACGTTAGCCTTGCTTTCCTTCTTAGTCATGCAGGGGACTTCGATTCCATGTCGCAACTCGAAACAATACTGCCCGTGCCGCAAGCAGACCCACGTAGCGTGCGTCAATGGTTTGGTGGGGTAAAACAGTTCCCCTCCATCGATCTTCTGGTGCGGATTGTGTCTAGAGGTGTCCCGGTGCAGATAGCAGCAGGCGGTGACGTAGATGAAGCTCTCGCGTACGGTAACCATGCATCTGTTTCACAGCATACGGACCTCATTCAGAAAAAAATCAAGGAGGACGTCCGGTACGGGCGTGCATTCGTGTTTCCCAGATCAGCGGCATACCAGATTCCCGGCCTACGCTTGTCTCCATTGGGAGTAGTAGTGAACACCAAGAAAGCTAGGATTATCAACGATCTCCGATTTTCGGGTGTAAACGACGATACCAACACTTCCGTGGCACCGGTCTGCAAACTGGGCCACGTATTGCGTGATGTAGTTTGGCGCGTGCTGTACCTGCATGGAAAGTTTGTGCGTGACGCCCATGGAGACACCCCCACAATTCTGATTGCTAAAGTCGATTCCAAAGACGCGTTTCGGCAAGTATCTGTAGAGCGAGCGCACTCCCCGAAGTTCGGATACGTGTTTGGAGGCACGCTCGTTGTAGACAGGCAACTGCAGTTTGGATGGAACCTCAGCCCCCCGTATTTTTGCCTGTGCACAGCAGCGATTGAGCACTCCCACAACAAAACATCAGCCGCAAACGCAACGCCGACGCCGCAAGGGCGGCTTGCTACCGCACATATTTCGGTGGTGGAATCAGCAGAAGTTCAAACGATGCTGCCAGCGGCGTGTGCAATCCCACCCGGTTCCGGTGGAGGAGTAGACGACCCGTTTTTCGCGCGGGCGTATGTGGACGATGTTATAGGGGTAGAAGTGCACTGGTCCCACCCCCGCGGTGACCGTTGTGTGATCTCTTCCGAATCTCTCGTTTCTGACCACTTTCGACTCTTCGGTGACAGACCCCACGGTTTCCCACCACTATTTTCAGCTAGCAAACTTACGTCGTGGGAGGCGAGCATGGAAGTGTTGGGTTGGGTAATAGACACGAAGGCTATGTCGATTTCTCTTCCTCAACAAAAGTTAGCGACGTTGCGTGAGGCGCTTGAAGGATGGGTAGTTCGTCGTAGCGCGTCGGAGACCGAAGTGCGGTCGCTGATGGGGAAGCTGTTGCACGTGTGTGTGGTTGTTCGCCCTGGAAAGTTCTTTGTGCGACGCATGCTCAACCAGTTGGGTATGCCCCCCTCCCAACCGTGGGAAGAGAAGTACATCGGCTCGAAGGGGGGAGTACGCCAGGGCCCATCGAAACGGGTCATTTCTCTGGGTCCCGAGTTCCGCGCCGACGCGTCGTTCTGGCGTATGATGCTAGCAGAGGCCAGCGGCCTTCACGGCGAGGGTAGGCTAGAGATGCCGCTTTACAGCATGTATCTGCAACCTCACTCTCGAACGCTGTGGAGTGACGCGAGTGGGGACGCCATGGGAGGATACTGCTTAGAATCGGGGCAATACTGGCGAATGGATTTCTCGGATGATGTCCGACAACGGCTGCGTCGCAAGGCAGTCGGTAGAGACGACTTAAGCATCAACGTCCTCGAGCTGTTGGGGATGGTCGTTACAGCGTGGGCTTTCACGGTAGACGCAGACTCTACACCCGAGTATCCTGGTCAAAGCGTTTTGCTTCGTGGAGACAACATGAGCTCCATCCATTGGTGTAACCGTTGCAGGGGACCTAGAGAGCCGAGGTCGGGAGCGCTAATGCGTATTCTAGGATGTTTAGAGATGCGAAGCGGGTGGTGTTTCCGCGCGCGCGTCACGTGAAAGGCATCTCTAATACACTGGCAGACGGCATCTCTCGGTGGAACCACGATAGCATTGCCTCAAACTTGCGCGCGTTCCGACCGGATATCGACTGGCAGGTTCAGGACCTGGGACAGGCAGGACGGGACTTTGTTACCGACGTCTTGGCATGCAGCTCGTCGAGCATTCAGTTGCGTCTTCGTCTAGAAGGACTTACACGTCAGGCTTCAACTCTTGGTGCACGTTTCGGAGGCTGACGGAGAAGCCCAAGTTCCTAGGGCAACGTGCCGGGGACCTTCATGTCTGGGAGTTGATAGACTTCGTAGCCTGGTGTTTCGAGTCTGAGGGTAATCTAGCGAGTACAATATCCGGAAAACTCACGGCTGTACAACATTTTCATAGGCTGGAAGCTTCTGTCGAGCTCGACTTGTCGTCTCCGATGTTGAAATGTGCGCTAAGGGGGATTGCGAGGAACCACGTGGCTATGGGGACGGTACGCCGTGTGCGTCTGCCTGTGTCTTGGCGTATGCTGCTGGACGGGGAAAGCGCAAGCCAGAACTGGGGGGAAGGGGGCAGAGTGATGTGGCTGTGTCTGTGCTTGTCCTATCTCTTCATCACACGGTCTGATGAGGTGTTCGCGAACGATGCGGGCAGGGTGCATGAGGCACACTGTCTTACGCGGGCGGATGTAGCATTGTTTGCTGGCGAGACGCAATTAGTCTTTAGTCAATATCGTCGAGCAGACCGTGTCGAAATGAGGTTTAGAGGGCACAAGGCCGATCAAGAGCAGAAAGGAAACATACGGGTTCGTACGCGAGACGAAGTCACCGGACCGCAGTCAGGTGTGAGAGCACGCGGCGGCGCGGTGGCTCTTGTGGTGGAGCTGTTATCGTGTCATGCGACGTTGCCTGACTCCGCACCGCTAGCTTCGTACCGTAGTGGAAGAGCTGTGAGAGTAGCGAGGTATAGTGCTGCCCTCCGTGCAGTCAGAGAAGTGGTTGCGAAGTCGGGGCGTAACCCCCAGGAGTACGCGTTGCACTCGTTGCGAATTGGAGGCGCGACGGCTCTTGCATCGGGCGGAGACATCGCAGAACGAGTGATTCAGAGAGAAGGGAAGTGGAGGTCGGATGCATACAAGCCGTACGCGCGAAACAATGTAGAGGATTCGCGGCGAGTGTCACGGAAACTTACAGACGGCAGTAGGATCGTATCGAGACAGCCGGGGGAGGGGACCGTCTGGGGGAACGGATAGTTGACTTATTCGGTAGTCGTCCAGAAACTGACCTCGATGTGGGTGTTGTAGAATGGTGTCTACCATTTGAGGACTTGGTCAGTTTTTGGGACTCCTGCGTTTGCAGTCGTAAGCCCCCGGCTAGTATTTGTGGGGAGAGAGATGGATTTGTAAGAGTTGACGCCGGCCTTTGCAGCTAACGCGGCCGGAGAGACGATGAGCGTTTCGTGCGTCTCTCTCCCCAACACGTAGCCTAGAAACCGAAGAAATAATGAAGCAATTCGAAAGAACACAAAATAAAAGGAAGGTTTGTTCGTCGAAGCAGATAGAATAAACTGGTGTTTATTTTGTAACAGTCGAATTAGAATTTGGCTTCATTTTCTACCGGAAACCCAGGGTCACGGCGTTTGGAATTATTACTCTATAGTTGGGGGTGTCATTCCGTGATCGAGTCCACGCAGGGGCTGTAGTGAAGTCGGGTAACGTGTGACAGCTACAGAGCGCGTGAGGCAACGGAAGGACAGCAGCAGCCGCCTTACGCAGTAGCGGCGGCAGTTTAGAAAATCCCGCCCTCCCATGCCCATCTCCATAAATAAATATGCAGACAGGATATATATATATATATGTAGACCGGGGTTCTTGTTCTCATTTGCACGCCAATTGCCCCTTTCCGAGGGCACAGGTTTTTCTTGCTGGATTTCAACGTTTCACCAAGAGCACACCAGCAGAGCATAAACGGGCAACGCCCCCCCCCCCTCAGTCTAAACGTGAATGCGGCTCCGAGCGTGAAGACCGGGTTCATGTAATTTTGCGGAAAGTTGTACAACGACAACAGGAGGAGAGAGAAACAATCACGTCTGAGCTGGGGGGAAAGTAGAAGGAACCACAGAGATGCTTGCGACATATGCATACAACGACAAAATATCGCAAAGACGCGGTCCGTGGTCACAAAAATGCTACAGCAGTAGAAGAGCCATCAGCAGTAGAAGATCTAAAGAACACGTAAATTAAGTGCACAAAACTGAACTACCCGTGAACTAGACTACCCACATTACATTCGACTACAGCAGCATCATCCCCGCTTGTCCGACACTTTACCAAAATGAATGTTTGTCGACTACAGCGTACAGCTGTCTGGAGTGCTGCCAGTACAAAAACACCATATGGTAGGCATGGCACAAGTTCGGACCGTGCAACAACTGCCGTTGTCTGAAGTGCTGTCAGGATGCGTCCGTGGTGCGCATTGTGTTCTCGATTTCTCGGCTCTTCCCAAAAACATCTGTGCGGCAGGTTCAACAATGACGTCATATTTTCTCATTTTCCTGTCCTCTTGTGCTGAACGGTTACGTCATGCACGATAGATCATATTTGACCGTCATCCTAGGGTCCACCACCTCCCTCACCCTCCCGCCCCCCCTTCTTCTCACTTTCTGTTTGCTCTTCACAGCAGACTACCAAGCAAAACCATGACTTCCGTCCCTGAGGACTACATTGACCAGGTCAGTGCCCTCCGTTGCTCGTGCGGAGAAAGCACACAGCAGCAGCAGAGGTCGATGAGGGGGTAATCGCAATGTCTCATGAGAGCAGCGCACTACACTTACGGAAATCTATGCGTGCATGCCGCTTTTTTTGGCAGCGAGCTACTCTGCTGCTGATTTAAATTGTTCTCTCGATGGGCGCGCAAGAGCAGCAGTGCCGTGCGGGGCCTCGCCCCCCTCGAGCGCGGGCAGCACGGTACTGCTGCGCTGCCTGCATGGATCCATCCTACGCCAGCTACATCCAGTGCCGTCTTCATAGTTCATGGGTGGGGTAGGATCCAGCAGTTGGTTCACTGCCGTTGAGTGGCGGCAGTTGACGTTCCTCATGCATGTATGTGTCGTGTATGAAGAAATTCGTCATGTATCTCCTCCCCCCCGCCGTGGAATGAAACTATAACTCGCCACGAGCGAGAGCTGACAAATACGCGTCCTAGGCAGTTCCGGCAGTCGATGCTGCCCACGCGATGCTCTCGCGCTCTTGGGTGACTTTGGCAAATTGGGAAACTACATGCAGTTTTTTAGCCTCTGACGTAAATGCAACCGGTCGCCCCGGTGGTCTAGTTGGTATCTTCGACACCTTATAGCCTAGGTCAGGTTAGGGGGATTGGCGTAAGCGAGCTTTTCTTGCAAAGTTAAGTTTCTCTCTCGCTTCCGCTCCTGGCCTAGTGGATGGCGCTCGTTCGTGTGTACACAGAGGGAAGAGCGTGCTGAAGTCTTATCGCAAAAATCGAGGGCAAAGTACGGCAGAAGAAGGGGAGGGTAGAGAAGGGCTCTTCTGTGTATCCACGGGTTGGAGTAAACGGCACTACTGCTGTTGCTGTGAACTCTAACTCTCATATGAAGTAAACTAAAAAAAAAAAACACACACAAGCCCCGATGAAGAAGCTTTTTCGCGCACTTTCTCAGCTATTATTGCTGTTGTTGGGTACACGGAGAGAGGGATGGATCGAGGCGATTGACGTACATGTAATGCTTTCAGACCCTCATTTTGTTTTCGCGTCTAGCCGGTCGTTCCCCGCCTCGAATCGAAGCCGGAGCTCGGCTCTCTCCCGAATAGAGCGATGCGATTGTTTTACCTGTAACAAACGCCTGAAAATTCAGACCCCACCTCGTCTGCTGCTGTCGCGTTTACGAAACCGCAGGACTCCTTTTTCGGAGGAGAGCCGCCCCTCAGCGAGGCCGTGGGATACGGTAAGGGCTGTCTAGCTGCGTGAGAACCAACTGCCGCGTAGCGCTGTCTTTTTGTTGAAAGCTGGTGTGTCCGAAGCAACGTGCAGCAGAGGTGGATTTGGATTTTGCTTCTTCGGTCGAACGATTTCGTGCGCAATATCCAGTTACACGTTTGGGTGCACGCTGCGTTTTGTCCATCCGCCATGTATAAACACAGCAGTGCCGGCCCCGCCGCGTTGGAACCTCGTCGTGTGTTGTCCCTTCGCGGCTGCTGGGAGACGAGAGAGAACCGTTTTCCCAAGCGTGAATCGTTTTTTGATGCTGTCGTCACGTTGGCGCATGGCGTCCGCACCAAAAAAAAGGAAGAACATGTCCGCCGCCTTTTCGGCGTCCCCTCTGCTGCCTCTTGTGTGCGTGTGTCGTCGTGCTGGAAAATATCCCGTCGAACCTATGCATGTATGCTAAATCTATATTATATACGTGCCGCGTGGGTGCGACCGGTGCCTCATCGTGTCGCCGCTCTCGCACCCACCCACCCTGCGCGTTCCTGCCCGCCTCTCTTTTTTCCTCCACCTGTACAATAGTGGGACTGACTTATTCTTATTCTGTTTTCGTTCCCTCCCTTTTGTGCGCCACACGGGATTGATTGGGAATGACGTTTGATGGGCGTTCGGCGGCGGCGGCGGCGGTCTCGCAGTCGTCGTGCTCATCTTCGGGATCTTCTTCTCCTTCTTCACGAGTGAGCAAGCGTACAGGTTATTCTCGTGGGGGGGGGGGGGTACAGCAGTAATAGCCGGGGGAGCTAGATAGCTCTTGGTGGATTGCTCGTTTTTAGACACCGAATGTATGCATAGTACACGTGTGCGCGGATGGATTCGAACCGAGAACGGCCACCGTACCGGAACCAATACGACCAGGGCAGCGATCGATGGATACTGCTGTACATACACCCATTTGTATGGTTTGTTTGAAAAGCGATCGAGTAATTGTTCAGCCGCGTCTTCCTCTGTGAGATATATATTTTTACAGGTATTTAGAACACAGAAGATTTGCGACACACCACAAAGAATAATTCTGCTAAATACTTCGTACAAAGTCCTAATAATGCCGATGCCGCACTCGCCCGCCAAGCCCCCCGTCTGTATCGCATTCGCTATCCCAACTCATCTCTGACGCGCATAATCACTGCGTTGTTCTGTCCCTTGTGCGCTTGTGCTGCGCGAATGGCGATACTACCGCCGATTCCATTCGATGGTGTGTGTGGATGGATCTTCTCGTGGTGTTGCCTGCGTGTTCGTTGTTTGTTGTTCTTCCTCTCTTGTGCGCTACGCAGCCTTCCTCGTGTGGCTTGACCAGAAATTCAATGGCGTCAGCATCACGTCTGAGCAGGTGAGATGAGGAAGAAAGAAACGAATATTATTACTGTCAAAAATTCTCTGTTTGCCCCTGCTGCCCAATGCATATGCATCATGTGCATACACTGCTGCTGTGTTTTCTATTCTAGCCTTGTGGCGTTTTGAGGTGCGTCTGGCTGCCACTAATCGATGATGTGTGCATCCGTGGTGGTTGATGCAAATGGTTGTGCAAGACGTGATCAACAGCACAACAGTGAGTGGTATGGTCCATGCACGACAAAAATAGGTAGACATGCACTGCTGTAGACACGTCCTATCCCCCCAGCACCAAGGTACACTTTGCACGGTGTTGCAGCTCTCGGACATTGCCTTGTGGAGTTTTTCCCATTTTTGATTTGCTGCAAGTTATATGCATAGGCATTGAAGGCGGAACTATTCTCCCCATCAACAATATCGAGGTATTAGATTAGAGTAGGGCAGACAACAGGAACGACAGCAGTAGTGCCTCTGGTAGTTGGCAGTAGTTTGTACCTGAGCGCCCACTTGCCATGTTACTTGCGAGTATCACAAGCGTGCACGCATCATCACGATCTTCCCGATTCTTTTCTGACGTTGTTGTGTGCCCGACCGCCGTTCCCTTGTTATTTTCCCTTCCTCGGCCTGTTCCTGCTTTTTACTGATGCTCCGGAATGTTCCAACAAACAATCGGCCCTCCTTCCACATCATCAGTTCAACACCGCCGGTCGTAGTATCAAGACCGGCCTCACGGCCTCCGTGATCGTGTCCCAGTGGACCTGGGCCGCCACCCTCCTCCAGTCGTCCAACGTGGCCTTCAACTACGGCGTCTCCGGGCCGTTCTGGTACGCCTCTGGCGCCACCGTCCAGGTGCTGCTGTTTGGCATCCTCGCCATCGAGGTTAAGCGCAAAGCGCCCACCTGCCACACCTTCCTCGAGATCATCCAGGCCCGGTGGGGCGACACCGCGCACAAGGTGTTCCTGTTCTTCGCGCTCCTGACCAACATCATCGTGACCTCCATGCTGCTGCTCGGCGGCGCCGCCACCGTGAACGCGCTCACGGGGCTCGACCTCAACCTGGCCTCCTTCCTCATCCCGTGGGGCGTGATCGCCTACACCATGGCCGGCGGGCTCAAGGCCACCTTCCTCGCCTCCTACACCCACACCACCGTCCTCTTTGTGGCCCTCCTCATCTTCGTGTTCGTCATCTACACCGGAGACGACCAATACGTCGGCAGGTGGGTCGGGCTTCTTGTGTGATTTTGTTTCCCGTTTTTCCGCCGTCTGGCGTTTGTACACTAAACTAAATCCAAATCCTCGACTGCCACTTTACTTTGGACACTAAATCCTCGACTGCCACTTTTTTTTTGTTCCGTCAGGAAAACCTCGAAAGTACACTCAAAAGGTGAATTGGATGTCTCGTCATCATTTGTAGTCATCTGCTGGCGTGGCAGGCACCCCCCGACCACGCCAACCAAACTGACCCCCCCCCCCCCCCCCCCCCCCCCCCCCCCCCC